ATGTAGTATTTTTTGTTTAACTCGGTTTTTCGTCTATTTTATAATGAATCTCTATTATTTTACACTTTTAGCGTTTTATTACTTAAAATGTCTAATTCAAAAGGATTCCTATTCGTATTATAACAAGTTTTCGAGTTTTACGAAAAATTAGATTTTTGTGTTCTACTTGTTGTTTTATCTCGGATGTTCGTCTATTTTATAATGAATATCTACTATTTTACACCTATTTAACACTTTATTACTTAAAATGTCTAATTCAAAAGGATTCCTGTTCACTCAAATTTTAAAAAATATATTGAAATTTGGGAGTGTATTTTAAAAAATATTTTAACACCTAATCAAAAAACAAAGACTAATACAATTGGTGTATTGGTTAGTTAGTATCTCTAGTTTTTATTGGCTGAAACCCTTTGTTTCTTTCTGTAGATTTTTAATAAAAAAGAAATGTTCAAAAAACAAACACTGGAAACCAACGAATAAATTATGCAAAATTACACACATTGTCAACAATCAGTACCATTTAAATCTATCATTGACCGATAAACTGTATCGTACGAATCAACATGTCACCTCCATTACTCAGCAGTTCATCGCATTCGCTAAAGATTCCCAGAAACAATTGAATAATTCTTTTCAAACAAACAAAGGAACAGAGAGTATCCGCAACAATCCGATATATGAGACGGAACACAGTTGTGTTGGTGTTGTCTCGCTCTCGAGGTTTACTTCAATGACGTTATTAATATGGCGCACCGGTCGATATGTTTATAGACAACGCGCGCCGTTGCCGGATTTCTCGAGCGCATCCCCAAATGTGCCGAAATAATTTGTGTTGCATTTTTCTTTGTTATGTGTTAAGGTTAAACTTGTAGCTCATCCAATTGTGAAAACTTAATTATTTGCAGCTTTATCAAAATGTAGCGGCTTGGAACAAATATTACACATTAAAACGTATGATTTATTATCTACGAGGAGTACGAAAAGTTCAAGTCTAAACAAAAATTAAATCAATATTGAAGATCTAATGATAATAGCTGACAAGTTTAATACCTGGAATGTATTATAAAATTCAAATGATTTCTTTTTCTTCGACTTTCTAGCCCTATCCATAAAAAATTATCAAGAATTATTAGAATAAAAACAGTTCTGGGTAATTTAATTATAAATATGTAATTATCATTCAATATTATTAACGATTAAAATTGCTCTAATAGTTCCAATTTATAAAATAGGGGATGACTTTAAAATTGAAAATTATAAACTCGTTAAATCACACAAATGGGTCATATCATATTTCTATCAGAAAATACAAAGAGTTATATTAAAAAAAGAAAAAGAACAAATTATATCTGCTGATATGTAGGTCTAGAAATTTTACAGGGAAGTGTTCTGGGATCAATTCTATTTGTGTTATACAGGATGTCCCATTAGTGCGTAATTGTTCAACATTTCAATTTGTGTTATTGACACGCAAACAAGTTTCAAATAAAAATTATATGGATTTAAGAAATAGGTATTTTAAAAATATTTTTGGATATACAGGGTGTTGCGTTTTTTTTCTGACAAATGAAAATGTTATTTTTTAAATAGAACACCCTGTATTTTATTTCAGTTTTAGATTGATTTGGTAATACTGTATTCAACCCTAAAATATTTTTAAAAAGTATTACAAGGTTGCCAAGCAATTAATTTTTTTTATAAAATTAGAGAACGATTCAGACCCCAAATTAAATTATCATAATTTAGGTAGGTTTACAATGATTTCAAGATCTTTTGCGCACCAAGTTCGATAAACGTGTTATCAGCCGTCTCGGCGATTTAAATTGGCCACCTCGCAGCTGCGATTTGACACCTTTAGACTTTTTTTTTAGGCCCTTAAGGTGAATATCGAGCAAGCCATTCATGAGATAGAGCCAGAAACCGTAACCAATGTCTTGGAAAATTGGGAAGGCTGGGCTACTGCAAAGCCAGCCGAGGGAGGCAGCCTCATGAATGAAATCGTGTTCCAGAAATAATGGAAATGTTTGCTCTTTCGAATAAACCAATAATATACCGAACAAAATTGATTTTTGTAAAATTTTTTAAATTTTTAAGAAGAAACCATTATATGGACCATCCTTTAATCTTAAAGTATTGAAGAAGTATCTAAAAAACCGACTTCAAAATTCGTGCAGATGCCCTTAAAATTTAGATTTTTGATTTTCTCCCTGATCATCAGATCCTCACCAATTGTATACGGAACTACCCCTGAGGTATACCCTTTCTAACAAAAAAGAATCCTAGAAATCGGACAAAGTGATAAAGAATTATCGCTGAAAATACATAAAAAATTAACAGTTATTGGACCCCATTATTAAAAAATATATATATTCCGACGAATTGAGAACCTCTTCCTTTTTTGAAGTCGGTTAAAAACCGGCATAACACTTTATAATTGAAAGAAATATTAGGTATGGTATTATAATCTTGAAAGTTGTAGTCAGTGAAATTGCAGTCGGTATGTCACACCAGAAACCAGAACTATGGTTATTTATCCACGCCCAGGGCCGCCGAGAGCCAGGTCGGGCCCCAGGACCAATTCTCTACATCGGGCCCTGAAAAAAAAAAAGTCCTCGCCTCGAAAAAATAAAGTTTACCTCAACTACTTTCAAAAAAAAAAAAAAAGGTCCTCAAGTTTTACATATATTAATACGTGCTTGCATCCGTTGATAATCTATAATTGACAGTTTCCAATTCTAATTTGCAATCACTCAGTAATTTCTTAGCCCAAATAGTTCAGCCCCAAATTCAAATTTAGCACCGTTGAAGAGCCAACTGATCTAGGTAATGACTTAGGGATGGCTACAAAACAACTTAGGGTTCGTTACAAAATGACCTATGGATTCAACTGTATCGTGCTGTAGGGTATCTCAAAAGTGCTTTCAAACTTTACAAATATTCATATTAATTATATTTTTGATTTTAATTAGGACCATGGGCAATGTAACCTCGACCTTTTTAGATATATTGAGGATATCCTTTGATTATGGGTTAGAGTAATTTCTCTAGTTTTGCCTTTCTTTTTTTTTTTTCTTTCTTAGAAAACTCCCTAGACTAGGAAAGTTATTTAATTGCAGCTTTATTAAAATGTAGTGACCACGAACAAATATTAAACCTTAAAATGCATGATTTTTTATATACGAGAAGTTGATTAGTCAATTCTGATAGTTTCCAATTCCAATTTACAATTACTCTAAGCCCAAATAATTCAGGACCAAATACAAAATGCGATTAGAGAATGTGCACCGTTTATGAGCCAACTGATCTAGGTGACGCTACAAAATGATCTAGGGGTCGCTACAAAACGACCTATGGGACCAACTTTATCGCAAGTGTCTCAAAAGCGCTTCTTTTGAAATAAGCACATTAATTGCATTTTTGATAGTTTGTTATCGAGGAATTAGATTAGATTTAGTTAGGAGAGTAAGTTATGAGTCCTAGTCTAGTTATTTTCCTATTCTAATTTAGTAGATGCTAGGCGAGTTCCACCATTTCCGAGTTTTTTTTTATTAAACATCCATTGCTTTGTGCAATGGAGTCCAAAAGAGCCTTAGAATTTCCTTCTCTGGCTGGTATCGAGGGATTGTTTACAAAAGTCTTTGACGGTCATTTTCGTTTATTGCCTGCTTCAATTGGCTTGTCTTTAGAAAGGACAGTTATGCTTGGTACTGAATTGGCCTGTAGCCCGAATATCACACAAACATCTGGGTTAGATGAAGATATTTAATTCTGGTGTTGTTTCTTGGATATATAATTCCAACACCCAGATATAACTAATTTATTGGTGATACTTTTGCATTTATCGCTGCTATTCTCTTTGTCGTTCAAGGTTGGTAATAATTGGATACTAAAAGCAAATGTCAAAGCAACACAAAAATTGTTATCGCATAAATTAGTAACAGTAATATACAAAAATTAAAATTAAATAGTGACCATATACCACACATTAGTTGAAAGTCATCTTTCACGATCATCTTCAAATTCTTCACACCCACAATTCCTATTTTCGTAGCCAATCCCTTACAATAACAAAAAACCCGTCGTCTCGTTGATATAATCCTTCATATAATCCTTTCTTCGCTCGCTTGCATTTTGTTTGGCATTAGACCGATATGCGACTGACATTGACCTACTTGGCAACACTGCAAAGTTCACGCCACGTGCTGCTGCCTGGCGAAACGTAACAAAGGACCCGAACCCGAAGGACGAAAATCGAACTGAATCCTTTGTCCTTGGCGTTATGCTCCTAGTGGAATTTTGTAATTTTCACGAATGCAGTTTTACCGTGTTTTTTTTTTTTCGTGGATCTATTCCATTTAGAGGGAAGATAATTACTGGAAAAGGATGAAAAAAGGAAGGTTTCTGGGCGTTTTGAGTTTGGAAAAGGGTCTTTGCTACACGGAACGCACTATTGTTCATTTTAGATTACTTTATGTTGCATATACCAAGAATATTAAACAAAACATTAGGATTATAGTTGACATTATTAAATATCTATTCACCCACACTGATCACTCTTCTTAGAATGCTATTGCAAAATAAAAAAAAAATTATACAATTCTCTTGATGAAAAACAACACTGTTATTTAATATTTATATAAACGACATATTAGAACATATTCAATGAATGACACCTCAATTTTTTAACACTGTAACAACTGGGAATCACTCAAAAAAATATCACTAAATAAAATTTTTTAAAAAAATGTCTTCTTTTTCGTTGTAGCATGGAATTAGAAATGAAATTTCTCACCCATACTTAGGATTTTCCTTTTGTGGGGTTTCATTGTCATTTATCGTCATAACAAATTATTATTATTATACGTATTTTAGATATTATTGTATTTCCAATCCATTACATATAATTAACACAATCTCCTTTTTTTGGAAATAATTACAAACAATTCACGATTTTTTTGAATGTTTCGAAACTAACTTGATTTATTTTTTGTTTGTTACAGAATCTTACTCGGATCGTGTTCCAATGTACTTGGCCAAGTTGCTTAAAAATGACCAACACCTGTGAGGCAATAGAAGCTCACGTCCGGAACGAGCACTTGAAGTAAGCATGACTCTATTTTTGTTTAACCAGTTTTTTGACTTTCTTCCAACGTTGCCGGTTCGCATAAAATTCCCCAATTTTAGGTACTCTTGATTTTTGTGATCCGTAAGATCGCCAGGTTTACAAATATGTAGGACTGCAGGTATTCTCTATGGCGCCATCCGATTTTCGTACATAATACTATTACATTAGGTCGGAACGTGTCTAGAACGCCAGTTTGGTTTGGATCCTTTGGATCAAAAATACTTGAGTATCGTCGGATGGAGTTAATGAATATTGAAGGAGTAGCTTTATTTTTTACTAAAAGTTAAAGAAGTTATAGAGCGATAATAGTTGTTATATGTAACTTCTATTGCATGATAAATACAGGAGGCCTATAAGGCTGCGCAGGGGCATAAAAAAGAACAAGGATAGAGATACTGTTTAAATTTATATATTCAGTAAATGATTGGGTTTTCGTATTAAATGGCTTGTTTTGGCTACATCCACTGGTCTTCTGACCGATGTTAGAATAGACGAAGACGATACAAGTTAGTTTAGTATGTATTGTAAAACTGTTACATCTTCTGATAATACGGTTGTCTTGTAATGTAATTAAGACCAAACATTGAGGCAACAATTTTTTAATATTTTCATTCAACACGTGAAACATTGTCGAACGTGAATCATTTTGGCACGGACCAGATCAAAACAAACACGTTTTTTGGCGTCCATCCTCCATTAACTCTGGACGACGAGAATTGCTCGAGTGCTCGCGATAGGCAGTTACTAATCTGTTGCCAATCTGGACTCTTTCTCTCGAGATAATTAATATATACAAAGCTCGAGCTATTATGTATGAAGTTATGTAGACGCGGACACGTGCGATGACGTTTCAAATTAAATACTATTGGGTCGGGTACGAAAATAAATTCGTGGATTTTCACGAGAGACGAGGTCTGGTCGGATTTCGATCAGGATGCTAAATAAACATCTTCAGTGCCATCCGGCGTAGAGATTTGGGGTTATGAATGGGTGGGATCTTCGATTGTGTAAATATTTAGCAGCGATTTGAATACACTTATTGAGTTATGGTGAATTGTGAATACCTTAAAAGATATAGAATCCTCATCATATTGTTTGTAACTATTTTAAATTTTAATACAAATGATATGAAAAATAAAAAAAAACGACTTACCTTATAAATATGTTACATACATCTTTTTAAAATACGAAAATTTGTTTTTTCGGCGATATTAGTTAAAAAGGCAGTTTTCTCAATAGTTCCCCGCACAAATGCTGTGTAGTAGAAGGCGCCGAACATGAAAAATCGAAATGTCAATCTCTTCAGAAAAATCACTCTCACTATTAGACCCACATTCACCGACTCACTAAAATCTTCATTAGTTCTATTTAAATTTTTCAATATATTTCCTTCTCAATAAAACCGCAAATTCTTTGATTCAAAATACGAATGATTTAAAAAGTGTAAGGTAAACCAACGAACTAATTAAGATTAGTAGACTAAACTAAAGTACATTGAGTTCGTCTGTGCAACAAGAAACATAAAGTTTAGTATTTATAGATAGTGAGTACAAATATTTTGATGGACCTCGAATTGTTGCAATAGTTATTTTATATATAGTTTTAGTGAATAAAAAAAAAAGCCAATTAAATTTGGTTACCGCCAACAAATATGTATTTTAATCTATTAAATACATAAACAAGATGCCAAAATTTAAAAAACGCGTGAACTCTTTAGCAAGGAGACGAATTGTCATACAAAATTCATACCCACAAATCCAACTCTCTGGAGCCCGGCAGAAACTCTCACCCGGCAGGAACTCTCACATCATTTGAAAGGTAATTTTATTGAGAATTTAGCAATATACGTTAATTTTGATTTTAGCACCCTCTAGCGGCTTAAAAAAACTATTACAAATCGTGACACTTTATTTAATTATATTAGTAACCTAACGCACAATATAGCAAAACATAATTTAATGAAACATGAACTTTAATCGCAATCAACTGAAGTAACAAATTTATGATATGCATTAAATCGCTAATAATTTTTTTTTGATCTTCGGCTAACAAACGCAGTACGGCTAATTACTAAGGTACGATAAGTAAGATTAAAAGTAAGTTAAGTTGAATAGTTATAGCCTAAATTTTAAAGATAAGTAAATTATAGCCTAAATTCCCTACTAAACCCAAAATTTTAATGCTAAGAATACTGAGAGGGATTTATAGACGTTTTAAATCACCAATTTTGCCACAAACGCACTAATTATCTCTTTTTATTTTAAACAGATGAACTTGAATTTTACAATGTCCAAATTGCAATCTCGTTATAGTGGTATATAATAAAATTTGCTTTCAAATGAAGTAACACACTTTACAATACATAACAGTTGTTTATCCCGCTAGAGGGCGCTAAAATCAAAAACAATGCAATTATTAGTCATATTGTTGAATTCTTAATTAAATTGCCTCTCAAATGTGTTGCTATATATAAAAAAAAGGGAATTGCTGCCGGACTCTAGGGGGTTGGATTTCTGAATATGAATTTTATGACAATTCGTTCTCTTGTCAATAAAAGTTGAAGTAGTTTTTTTAAATTTTGAAAAATTTGTTTCAAGTTTGTAGGAATCAAGTTATCGCTAGTACACCCTGTATATATATTCAGCGTTACATGACTTGGAGTCATATAATTTGGTTGGCAATTTTTTCTCACTAATTTTGTGTTTCGCTCCTTCCTTATGGCTAATTTCACAACCTAATCTGTGTAGTCGCTTTCCACTGTCTCTATCCAACCCAGTAGTGCCTCTTGAGCAGCGGTTTTTTTGTAACTTTGTTCACTGATAACCATGATACGTGATTATGCCAACTTATTTTTTTAATTTTATGGCTGACGTTATCACACAAGATATATTTCCCATACTTCTAGCTCTTTCTTCAATTTTGCACTTATCTTCCATAATTCTGATCCATACACATGCAGTTCTACATGTCCTATAACTATTTGGTATACTCTTTTCCTTGTTTTTTTCCCTATCGCATTTGATTTTGTTTCGTTTGGCCAATATTTCACTAATTTCTTCAGTTTCTTCAGTTCTATTGTTAGTATGTTAAACTATTGAGATTATTTACACTATAAACTTTTTTATGTAAAATTTTTTGCTTTGTTAAATCACCGACCTCATTGTCCCATATGTTCTTTATATTCTAAGCATTGGTCTCTAATTCTTTTCGTTTAGCTGTAGCTTCTAACTTTTTCACGACTGCAATGTTTGCTCTTGTTTTAAATGTGTCTGCTTGTTGGCGATCAATACTAATTGAGTTAGAGAAATTGGTCATTGTTGGTCAAGTTTTGGCGCTATTCCTAATGTTCTCATACTATTGTATATCTCATCTCTACAGTTTTGATATAGAATTACCTAAATAACCACAAAAAACGGTTTATGGGCAAAGATAAACACTTTAGGCACAAACTCCAGAAAAACTAAAAAGAAATCACTAAGAGAAACTGAAAGGTTCTAGGAAGCTTCGGAGAAAATCACTACAAAGAAATACGCGCTAAATTTTTTTACAAACTCTGTCGAATAGTGTTCCAGGAAATATCTAAAACACCGTTAAATCTCAGAAAAAAAAACACTAAAAACCAGAAAAATGGCAAGATATTACTGGAAACAAAATAGTATACCATTTATCGAGTAATCATACATTTAAATCGTTAGCATAGATAATTGAAAAGCAATCAAGAGTTTTACTACTACAATAATCACAAAACTTTATATTGGATTGTTATTAGTTTCTCACCCGGTATGGTTTTCTGGCAATGCTATAACGGAAGTAACATTGCAATGTACTCTTCACTAGTTACCCCTGTACCTTTCGTGTTTGTTTCTTCCTCTAATCTCTTACTTGAATAGTTCATCTTATCTCTGAATGTCTATGCTTTTACAAATTCTTCTTTTATATCTTGTTTTGCTGAATTTTCTAGGATTGTGCCTTGATAAACCCTTTCATTTTTATTAAAAATTCTATTACTTTTCTGTGGTAGGAGTCAATTTTTGGTGATTAGATGGGTTCGGTTTTTCTGGGGTTATAGACAAGAGCGAAGTTTTTTAGAGTTTTTAACTGTCACTTACGCGTGTTGAACTGTGATTAATCGGAATAAACAAACGCTAAAAGGGCGTTAGGAGTTTAAAGAGTGAATTGGCGACCGAGCAAATATCACCAAAAATTGACTTATGCCCTTTTACCTTTCGATACAGTTTTATCTTCTAAATTTATTAACAAGGCTAGCATTTCTTCCTTCTTAATCACTTTATTTGCTAGTGCTACATCTGATGCCTATGTTTTTGTGAAACTCGTGCGCAATATTTCACGCTGAAGTTGATGGATAATTTGTCTTTAATATCAATATATAAAATGATTAACAAAATTGACTTCTAATAAATCTTTTATTTTACTTATTAAGTCAATGTGACAATACAAAACATATGCCGGGTGATAAACTACTTCTAATAGTTACAATAGTTGTAGATAAAGTATACTAGTCAACTCGCGAACACATTATCATGCTCGAGCTGCTAATTTAATATTTGTAGGTGATAGTCATAATTCGTCATTATACACTTGTTAAAATACTGTTATTTATCTCTAATGAAAAAGTGGTTTTGACAATTGTCTATGAATTAATTGATATACCCCATACTAATTAGACGATTTCGTCTCCAGCGAGATCCCGACAAAATTGATTCCCTACTAACAAGATAGCACGCCGATGATTTTCGCCATCAACCGTTCTCCCATTGGCCATTAGTGAAAGTCTGAATGAAATTCTATCCGAAGTATACATAAAGCATAAAGGGGGACGTCAGTGCGCAGGTCTTCTGTTCGTCGAGAGAGAACGCCGAAAATTTTACAACAAACCATACTACTCCGCGGTCTTGACATTTTTTCTCCTCTGACCCACTTTTCGAATGGATCGATCGCTATTTTTGGATGTAGTT